GGAGTTTCTAGAAATGGGTGGTTTGGGAAGTGATTGAAACAACGTTTTCTTTACCGAAAATGTTTCAAATCAGTCTCTAAAACAATCCTTTCAAGGAACTCCAACATTTTAGGGCACCCTGTATAATATATACAAAGTGTCCTATTTTAACTTGTACACCATAACTCGAAAACATGGTGTTTTAGCAAAATATGTTTCAAACAAAAGTTTCATGGTTCCGAGGAGGACAGAAGATGGAGATATCAATTCAATTACAGATGGCGCCACTTACGACATTTCTTCATGGCGGCCATTTTTTAAAACGGAAGTCGATCTTTTTGTTGTATTCCAAGGTAATGGAATCTTTAAGATCTACCTGGTAAGGTGACCCTATTAAAACAGTAACAGAAATAAACAAAACGCTGCGAAATATTTATATAATATACTACAGCAATATAATCATAATATAAAGAGTATAAAATCAAAAGTGTCAATTCTCCTAGGAATGAAAAACTACATAGTTTATTCTAATCAGAAAGGAATTGTGAACGAATGATATGAGATAAAATCGTGAACCTGACAATCACAAAATTCGTGAGCGCCGTGGTCAAACACAAAACTGGAGCGATGTGTTCCTGGATTCGCAACGACAAAGATAGCGTCTTCATATTCCACACTATAATCGACGTGTCCTCAGAGCCTGTCAGCAAATACTGTGAGTGTTGTGTTACAGCTAAGCACGAGATTGGACCCAAATGTCCTGAAATGATTGCGTACAAAGCGTTGCATTAGCTCACCCCGAAGAGACATGACGACGACGTGATGGGATTGATTTCATTTTGTACAACGAGGAAAGAATCACGAATAAATCAGGGCTGACTAGCACAACCGTTTCAACGCACGCCGAGCATGCTAACACAAGTTCCTAGATATATAAAAACATTCTAATTGTCAACAGAAATTATTTTAACTGTGAACGTTACGCCGCAGGTTCTTGTTCTAGAGTTCGTGGGTTCGAGACTTTCGCCAATGGGAACGCATTTTTTTTCCAACTGCATTTCTATTTCTTATTCCTTTTTTTACTCACTGCTATATAAATAATATATAAGAATTATAATATAATGTTCACATTTATATTATTTGCAATTTCTGCGCATATATGTATATATATGTATATTCAGTAGCCAAATACATAATTATTAAAAAACGAATTTTAGTTTAATAAACGCTTTAGCCACATTTGTTATTAATAAAAAATAAGTTAATTAATAAAATACGTGTTATTAAAAATTGTAGTCCGCATCCTATGCTTTATAATTCTTAAATATTATTTATATAGCAGCGAGTACTATAATTCTTACGTATTTTTTATGTAGCAGTGAGTACTATAATTCTTATATATTATTTATATAGCAGTGAGTAAAGAAAGGAATAAGAAATAGAAATGCAGTAGGAGAAAAAAAATCTTTTCTATTGGCAAGTCTCGAACCCACGAACTCTAGAATATGAACCTGCGCCGTAACGCTCGCAGCTACAACATCTTCTGTTCGGAACTTGAATGTTTTTATATATCTAGTAACCTGTAAATGTTTAAAGTCATATTTTTATAAAAACGCCGGAAAAGATACCCCTAATATTTTACACTTTTTTTATGCCCCATTAGCAAAGAAACATGTTCCATCTTAAATGGTTGTTGATTTATTTAATTTTAACATCCTTATCGTTCTCATCGAAAAACCCTTTTGTAACACCATTTTGTTGTGGTCGTGTTTCACCGTGGCGCTAATAGTTTGCGTGTTAGCCGTGCGCTGAAACGGTCGTGATGCGTAATTCTAAACTAAATTAGTAGCCTATTGTTTTCGAAAATGTAATTATGGTAGGCTTAAAGGTAGCTCGCGAAACAATAAGAGATTTTTCGTTCGATATAATAAGACAGTTACCAGAGAAGGTATGGACCAACTGGCCTGACATCACATGCCAGAGTTGAGCATCTCCTTGGAAAGGAACAACGATAACGTGCTGTCCGGAAGGTGCAGCCTCGACGAGTTTCACTCCTTGCGGGCAAGATAAACTGCGTATTTGAAGAGGTAAAGGTGGTTGAAGCCAGCTATTCAATGGCACCAATAGCGGAGCAGTGTAACCATCACACCAAGCCATTGCTGCTGTTACCATTTTGCTAACCTTAAAATTTAACAAAGCAAATGAATTAATTCTAACAAAGAAGAAGTATTTAATTCTGCAAATAAATAATACTTTGCTACGAAAATAAGTGCAAAACCCTTTCTAAAAATTCCTTATAGATTAAAAAAAAAACAAATCCTCAAAACGAAGTAAAAATTGAGGCTCTAGAG